GTGTTTAATAGTAAATATGCATAGACCCACCATGTGCAAACACCACCATAACCATAGATTAGACAATTAACCCCATGTATTGCTATTATAAATTTAAAAGCTCGATTAAGACGATAACGTGTGTATGTTCTTCGGTTTAAGATTTCAGAAACAAATGGTTTATTTTTGAAATGTAAACATTTATATATATAATATTTTCCTTTGTCATGATTATGAAATGTGAAAATGTTTAATCAACTCGTGGTGGACCACCGAGTGAATAAGTTACGTAGACGCAAAAAGCCCGCCATGTCTAGTTGTCTACAGCTTGACTCACGTGGATTCACACATTCATTATATATATCCTTAAAAATATATCAAAACTTAAATTTTGTATTGCTTGCAAGAAAATTGATTTTACTATTGAAATATACAGTTGACCAAAAAAAAAAAAAACTATTGAGATATACATATATATAATAAGCATATGAGCAAAATCTTATATAAACAGATAAGAAGATCGAGCTCATGCCCTCAAATCTCGATCAATGGATAGACTACAAGCGTGGACCATAATTTTGGCTAGTGTCCATTATATTGTAGTACAAGTGGTAATTGATTATAGTATTATTTTCTCCCACAAAAAACAAGAAAGAAAGATAATACTATATTTTCCATATTGACATATAATGAAATCTCAAGTTTCCCATTATCTATGTGACGTATCAATCCTAATTAATAAATTGATGAGAGGGTTTAAAAATCACAAAAGACAATGGTGTGAAAATTGGAAAATAATGGAGGAAAGTCAGGCGACCAGAAAATAATAAAATAGTGGTAAGTCAATGATAGTGAGCTCCCATTAATGGAGTCAAAGTTCGAAGAACTAAATTTTGCTATAAGATAGTTACATTTAGAATTTTACTATGGTCCGACGGTTAGACATTATTAGAATTAGAAGAAAAGAATTTTTTTTTTCTTCTACCTCTAATCCAATCAAGTAAAATTATAAATATACTGGTTTCTTCTACTTTTTCCTGGGCCCACCGAAAAGGAAGGAAAATCACACGAAATCCTTCCTCTAAAATTTACGAGTGGGAATTTTTCTCCCCAAACAGTAAACACAAATATTCAGTAAATAAAAAAATAAACTCTTTTGTGTGGGATCAGATGAAATCAGAATAATTTTTTTTCTTCGTTTAAATTCACCAGTCGCACCCTATGTATTTGGGATGTTTTTTGGGAAAAGAGATATGGATAAGCTTGTGTTTATACCATTATTCGACACACATTGATACAGAGGAAAATTTGGGTTAAGAATTAATAAAAGTAATCCTAACGTTTTTTTACG